ACGTCTATAGTGTATGAAACACGCGTATATATATATATATATATATATTCTGCATTCTGTCAGTGCCGATAGAAAAAAATCTATTTCTTATGGTAGAGAGAAAATGAGAGAAAAATAGAACGCATATGCTGCATATCACATATATCTCCTATACGGCCAGCTTTCAAGCCGTTTGACGGCCAACATATAGCGCCATCATCAGGATGTGAATATGGCTCATTGTTTAGAGAATGCAAATTAATTGCGATAGACACGAGAACACATATTGAATCAGGGCTGGATAACTGCGCTGACGTTCAACTCTAACTCCGTATTCACTCGAACTTCCGAATTCACTCGTGAATACAGCCACTCAATCATTTAGAAGGTCAGTTTTACAATCATTAAATATTTCCAGAAATGCAAAACGGAGTTGAGAATAAAAATTCAAAAACGCAACTCCGACCTCCTAAAATCTCAACTCCAACTCACCAAAACAATCCTCAATAATATTTAAAGAACATTTAGTTTTTACTATTTTCTCAATTATGAAACATACCACTATACGGTGTCTGGCGGTGTAGCGGTACACTGTATGTCTCATGATATGCATATACTGCTGATTCGATGCTAGTCAGAGATCGCTTATTTTTTTTCACTTTTACGTTTTGTTTTACTCATTGCTTTATCTATGCAATTCGAATAAATTGTTAGAACGAGAAATTTTTTGAAAAAGTGATGTATTGTACTTACGACTAGGACTGTAAAAGTTGCCGTTGCGTTGATTTAACGCTAACTGACAACACAGTTATCGTTGAAATAACGGTAACTATCAGCTAGTTAACTTTGTGGCAACTATTTCTTAATTATGGCAGAAATATCCAGGCAGCGGCTTAAAATGGCTTCCAAAATCGTTAGTTTTCTACTAAAACTGTTGAAACTTTCATAAATGATACAATTTTGATTGGCACACACGTGCCAGTCGACCAAACTAATCGAAATTATATAACTTCAATGTTTTGTAACTGCGGTTTTTAAGGTCTCTGGAGACCTCGGCATCTACGCACAGCTTGAGAAATCTTTTGGTTTTCATCAACGAAATTAGACTACAAAACCATGCCATTTATGAAAGTTTCAACAGTTTTAGTGGAAGCTAACGATTTTGGAAGTAGTGGCGTAACCAGGAATTCGTGGGTGGTAGGGCAGTGCCCCACGACCTTTAAAAAAACCCATCCACGATAGTTTAAATTTTTTCCACAACTGAAATACAGTTGCTCAATTCTCACTTTCTTAAGAGAAAGACAATACACTGTATCTGCACTTTTATTAAGTGAAATTATGTGAACAAAAGAGAAAAAGAAAATGAAATAAATAAACAAATAATAGTTATTTCAACATTATTCGACAAAAATCTTAGTGGAAATAATTATTTTTTGTTTCTCCCGGTGCCCGGGCTTTTCAGTTACCGTTGTCGATAACGGCCGAAGAAGTAACGGTAACTTTTACAGTCCTACATACGGCCGTTTTGTACTAACGAGGGAACATTCCCAGCTGTCCAACCCCGATTTCTTTCAAACATACATCAATCGATAGCCTATATCGAGATAGTAAAAAACCTAAAAGGATTTATCCCCATGACTCCTGAAGATCCGGTTTTCTGGAAAACCAGTTTTTCAGAAGCTAACCAAAATCTTTCGTAATAAGGCACGATTGTAGCCCGAAAATTTCTGATTAAAATGAGACGTCTCCCAGCTCTACACGCCCTTTCTCTGCAAAGTTACAAAATTTACAAGGAAAGTCCTAAATTGATTTCGTGTTATTTCTGTAGCTTTGAGCTAACAATAAACATTTAGGGCTTTTCTTGTAAATTCTGTGACTTTGTAAAGAAAGGTTGTGTAGAGCTGGGAGACGTCTCACTTTAATTAGAAATTTCCGGGCTACAATCATGCCTTATTAAGAGACGTTTTGGTTATTTTTTTTAGAGTTTCTGGAAAACCAGTTTTTTCGGAGAACGGGGTCTTCAGGAGCCATGAGGATAAATCCTTTTAGGTTTTTTACTATCTCGATATAGGCTATCGATTGATGTATGTTTGAAAGAAATCGGGGTTGGAGAGCTGGGAATGTTCCATCGTAAGAAATACTGATAATCAAATAAGTAATCATAAAATAATGCATAAACATTTGTTTTTTGTGGAAACAATTGCTATTTTTTCTTTGAAAATATTTGTTATATTATTTTGTTAGAATTTCCAATATTAAGTGATTTTTTTGTAGTGATATGTTTAGTAATTGAGAAAATAGTAAAAATTAAATACTTTTAATTCAAAATGCGTTCTCTTTTCTATCCCAATTAATTTGCGTTCTCTAAACAATTCAAAACGTTCTCTTTTAAATATTTTCTTTATAATCATTCCATTCAACATAAATATTTCCACTGTATTTCAATGCCTGATTAATTAGAATACAATTATTTCTATATTTAAGTAGAGAATTATATGTTTTTGGTGCATCACAATATTCTTCATTTAGATAATAATTGAATACAATATCATAATAAAATATGGAGTGTGTTGACGATATATTCGTCTTGCTTAATCTGTATACCGCGACAAACTAGACCACACTAACGATTTGGTATTCGATTGTGTAAATCAAATAATGTGAAACAAAATTCAAATAAGCTGTCAACATCAAGTTTTTAAAGCTTTATTTAATATTCGAAATATAAATGAATTATTTTCTGCATCATTTTTGTCATCAGACTGTACTGATGCAATGATTTAACATTCTTTTAAATAACTAATCATGAAAATAGTGCTGAATCACGAGCTAAAAATCGAGGATTATTATCAAGATTAAGTAGAGACGATTTGGAGAAAGAACACTTTTGACTATCACTATTGGAATGATGTTTATCACAAGAATTATTTTCATAGATTTTCGCCGCTTTATCAATATTATCGTTTTCATAAATCCCTATACCAAGATTACTATAACACAGAGATATACCTTTACCACTTGTCAATGTTTTCTGAACTAGCAAGTCAAATATATATTGCGCGAGATATGTTTTTCATTACTAATAAAAGAATTTAATTAATATAAAAACAATTTGTACAAAAAAGAGATTTTAGTATTTATACATTTCAAGTACGTCCACTCTTATCTTTAATAAATCTCAATGACAGATAAGCTAATGTTCGAAAAAAGATAAACATTCCAAAAAGTACAATAAAATTTTGTCCAATTCCTAAATTAACGTGTGCGTACGCTAATGCGTCTTTACCAAGAAATGTTGATTGAGTTCGACATTTTGAAACGTATGTACCATTCAAATTGCAGATGTATTGATGGTTTCTACTAAAGGCTAATCGAAGACATCCATCATTAGCATATTTGAAAAAGCTCAACCATTTAGCCCAAACGCCCAACCAGTGGGGCAGACTTTTAACGAAGAATCCTCCGACAAGCAGTAGTCCTAATAGGGTTACAGTTGCAATAACCAGACCATGTTTGACATCTCTGGTTGAAGCACCAATGAATAACCCGATAGATTCAGCAACTAAAATGGCTAATAGCTCGAACACCAGAAATCCGAGAAACACCGGGAAGAATGGATTAATGTTAGCCATCCAATAGGCGATGATTAGAAATGCAGTGGGTAGAACCAATTTTAACGGTGCCTCGGAAACTGATTTTGCCATAAAATACGCAGATAAACGATAAGAACCACTTGCACGTTCTTTGTTAATAACAGAACGTTCGAAAGGAAAAGACATTAGACCTCCCATCAAAGTATGGAATGGCCAGAACGTCATAATGAAAAAGACGAATGATGTACGATCTGGCACCGAAGATTCTGTAAATCCCATTCTCAACCAACATAGACCAACGACGATCGCCAAAGCAAGCGCTTGTATTATGTTTAACTTAGTGAATTGCTGTTTGCCCGTTAATTGATTACTACGTCTGTACAGAACACGGAACTGAGCGAAAAAGCCAATAGGCCATTTGCTGTTTTTTGTCAGTCCTAGAATTTCTTCATGATTATCTGTTTTTTTGAAATTTAAGTCATTCTCAGTTGGTTCTGCTATAAGATATCTCTCACTAGCTGTGACGGAATTTCTGTGGTACACTGATACTTTGTTGGTAATATATGCCTCTTTGAGCTTTTCCCGCACTTCCATGTCTTGATTAACCAAATCCATAACATAATCAGCTGGATTGTACTGTTCAGGTGATTTATATCCAAGTGTGCCAAAGTACGACAAGGCATCCGATGGTCTACCCATGAAGATAGTTTTTCCGTCAGCTAACAGTATCAGCTGATCAAAGGACTGAAACACTTGAGATGAAGGTTGATGGATGGATGTGACAATTGTTTTGCCCTGCAATGCAAGCTGTCTTAATGTTTCCATTAAAGCAAATGCACTTGTACTATCTAAACCACTTGTAGGCTCTAAAAAGTAATAGTCTTTTTTACGTTATAGTAAGAGAATGATGACAATCGCGTCTCGCGAAGTAGATCACAATTAAGTTCTTTTCTACAGCGACATTCATCTACAACTATACTTTATATAGTAACTATGAAATCTTACCATCAAGAAATATCAGATTTGGATTAGTCAATAATTCTGTTCCAATATTCACTCGTTTCTTCTCACCGCCACTAATCAACATGATGGGTGTGTTTGCACATTTTCTTATTTTCAAGGTGTCAATTATAGTTTCCACCTGTTGGAGTTTTTCACTGCGTGTCAAGTTACTCGGTAATCGTAATAGTGCTGTATAAGTCAGTTGTTGTTTGACAGTTAATGACTCGAAAAATAAATCTTGCTGTAAGACATAAGCTAACTTCCGTTTCATGCTTTTCTGATATTTGACATTATTGAAATAGACATCACCCGTTACTCCCGATAAATTACGACCAGCAAGGGTGTTTAACAGTGTTGTTTTCCCACTACCTACAAGGAATGTGACAGTTTATTGTTTCCAATACGTGGTTTACTGGAACTTCGATCCTTACCTGATGGTCCCATTAATGCCACGACCTGTCCGGGATGAATTTGACCACTGACGTTGTCAAGTAATTTTCTCTCGATAAATTTTGCCTTACTTTTTGGATCAATCATTTTAGCTGGAACACTTATAACTTTTGAAACATTCAAGAAAGTGAGGGTGACTTTTGGAGATGTTAGGTCCTCGCTCATCTGCATATGCAGCTCTAGCGTATCACCACCTTTGAGTTGAACTGTGTTGTTATTTGAATTATTTGTATTTAGTTCAGCGTGTTCACGGTATCCGTTATTCACAATACCGTCTACGACAGGCTCTTCACCGTACATTTTATCTATCTGTTTAGGTTATCTAAAATGATCAATCGCAGTTAAGCACCAAGCATTTTACAACGTCAAAATTGACGTTTTAATCACGAGAGTTTAAAAAATGTAGATAATTAGTATTCTGACATTTAAATAACGAAGAAAATGTGAATTCAAAAACCCTAAGAATATTTTTTTGTTGAACACACCCAATATAAATTGCGCTCTATGAACCCCAAAAATTGTACCAAATTTATATTAGAGAACGCATTGAAAATTGCGTGTTCAGTATCGTTTTAATACAGGGCGATCCAAAAAAAACTTACCCCCTGTGTATTTATTGACTTTCTTGTGTACAAATATAATTGAACTTTTTATTATTACTTTACTCAAATAGAGCAAAGATTTCTAGACAAAATGAGACGTCTCCGAGCTCTCTAAGAACTTTTTTCATGAAACAGCATTGAATTTACGGAAGGTCCCAAGAGCATATTTTTCTTGTTTGCCCATAAATACACAGGGGATAAGTTTTTTTGGATCACCCTGTAGGTCTAAAATCAAATGTATCTTTTCTTTGTAGTTACTCCTCTTTCTCTGTGTGTATAAGGGTGCGCTAGGCTTATGCACGTTAATCGGAATACTGCACTTTCGTTCTCGCGCTGATATAAAAATAGATTATTGCATTAGCATGATGCAGGAAAATGTGAGGCTGACTGAACACATCGGTTATCTCGGAGGTGCTGATATTTCAGTTTAATTACAGTTTCGCTCAAAATTTTAATCATGTTACTTACTTCTTATTTGGCAGTAACTGTTTGTTTGATTTCGCATGAAGGCACTGGACAATTTATACAACCTGCGCTATGAACCTGAAAAAAATTTGTACTAAACTTATATTAGAGAACGTATTGAAAAGTACGTCGGTTTATATCCTTCCAACAGGTATAGAAAATTAAATGTATCTTTTCTTTGTGATGTTCCTCTTTCTCTGTGTGTATAAAGGTTCTGCACGTGAATCATGATACAATAATATATTTTTATATCAGCGCGAGAACAAAAGTGCAGTATTACAATTAACGTGCATAATCCTAGCGCACGATCATACACACAGAGAAAGAAAACATATATTTGATTTTACACCTATTAAAATGACATTGATCACGCACTTTTCAATACGTTCTCTAATACACGTTTGGTACAATTTTTTGGGTTCATAGAGCAATTTTTATTAGGCGTGTTCATACAAAAATATTCTTTTCAATTCTGACGTTATGAAATGCTAACTGCGATTGATCATTTTTGATAATCTAAACAGATAGATAAAATGTACGGTGAAGAGCCTGTCGTAGACGGTATTGTGAATAACGGATACCGTGAACACGCTGAACTAAATACAAATAATTCAAATAAGAACACAGTTCAACTCAAAGGTGGTGATACGCTAGAGCTGCATATGCAGATGAGCGAGGACCTAACATCTCCAACAGTCGCCCTCACTTTCTTGAAACTTCCAAAACTTTTAACTGTTCCAGTTAAGACGATTGCTCCACGAAGTACGCAATAACTTTTTGGCCTCATTTACAGTCTTGTAGTTCTTTCACGAAGATTTTAGATTTCTGAACCTGTTGTCTTAGATCTCCACACCTGTACTGTATCCTAAAATATTCACGTAAGTGGAGTTAACAACAAATACAAATATTTTCAAAGCAGATTTTTTGCTGAACGAGATATAACCACCATCCACGTATTAGCCATTCAAGAAATTCAAGAAAATTCAAGAAAATCAAGAAATTCAAGCAACTGAGCAAAGTCATATGACACATTGAGTCACAAGCTTGAACTATGACGGAATTCAACCAATGGTCAAAATCAACAAGGTCATAAAAGATATTGAGTAATAACAATTCAACAAGGTCAGAAACCATCCAGAGTTAAAACCTTAAACTATCACGAAATTCAAAGAATTCCAGAAATTAAACAAAGTCAAATACCCTGTTGGGTATTAAACTTACGAAATGATGGAATTCAAGGAATTCAAGAAAATCAACCAGGCCACAAAAGATATTGAGCTACAACAATTCAGCAAGGTCCGAAAAGATATAACCTTGAAGATATAACCAGAAGAGTTATAACCCTGAACTATCATGAAATTCAAGAACTTGAAGGAAAGTCTAGAATTTGAAGCAATTCAACAAGGTCGTATAATCGATTGGGTTATAGGCTTACGATATCATGGAATTCCAGGAATTCAAGAAAATCAAGCAAATTAAGAGATTCTAGAAATTCAAGAAGGTCAGCGAAAGCTCACGATGCGATGGGATTCAAGAAATTGAAGGAAATTCTAGAAATTCAAGCAATTCAACAAGGTCACAAAAGATATAACTTTGAAGATATAACCAGAATACTTAACCTTGAACTATCATGAAATTCGAGAACTTTAAGGAAATAGTGTATATTCAAGCAATTCAGCACAGTTATATAACCTATTCGGCCTGGCCAACTAACTCTACCTGCGTCCGTAATTCCGTGACGTTTTTCTATGATTTTGTTTTATTTGC